AGTGAAGCAGATGCAACTGTACTTGTGCTGTGAGTAAAGATGCTTTTCAGGAGGAGAGTGTCTGCATTGTGCAGGTGCTTTTTTATAAAACAAAAAACTACTTTAAGATTACTGTCTGGCACACCGACAAGAACTCATGCTCCTCTCAGTAAAGACAAGATTGCAATTAGGGTGAGTTAATAGCCACCCCCTTTTCATTATGAACTGTGCCCTGATCTGAAGGTGTTGGCTTTCGTGGTTCCTTCCCTCAGAGCAGGGAAGCTCAGCGTTCTGCAGCTTCTGTCAGGCACAGAGAGGCTCTGCTCTGAGGCCTGTCCCATCCTGCCTTCCCCCACCTGTGTCCTTGATTTTTGGGGTTTGCTGCTGTGTTTGCTTGGGTTTAATTCATGCCTGGATCATCTGGCACCAACCTGGTGACAGTTTGATATTTGGAGGATGGAAAACGAGGTGAGGATTTCTTTTATTCAGTGGGTATTACTGAGTTCTGGATCGTTTACCTCTGGGGCTTGCTAATGAGGAAATGTTTAGGGAGCTTTCATATTTCATGCTTAGTGCTTTTGATTGTGTTGAACTTGTACTTAAATAGCAAAAATGGAAAGGGGAGGAGGATGTGGGATAAGGCTTCTGTTGAAACGGAAGGAAAAGTTGGCCAATACAGTGACATAAAGCCAATGGTGGTAGGTGGGATGGCTGAGATCCCGTGTGAAGGATTCTTCAATGCTGGTGTCACATAGATGACAATTTAAAATGGGCTGTGTCTGCCTGTGAGCACCCAGCCAGCTGCAGTGGGGTACAGTGTGATTTATGGGGTTAGAGGTGCGTGTTACTGCCATGTAAGCAGAGAGTATGGAAATTGGTGTGAGAATCCACCTGCAGAGGTGAAGAGGAGTGAGCAATGTGCTCATTGTGGAGATGGGCTCGAAGCTGTGTCTTTCTACTGCCTTGTAGAGGCTTAAGTCATCACTGAATCACTTCCTTTATTTAAGATCATACTTCAGTAGCAATGGAAAAAAATAAATCAGCTCTTCAGTTGAATGGGTTCATCTGCTGCCTGAGCAAAACCCAAGTATCCCTAATGCTGGAAACCCTCCCTTCTTTTTGGGGGAGGAGAGAAGGATGACAGCGCTGCCAGAACCCAACTGGCACTAAGAACACAAAGGCTTTTAAAACACGAGTTTCTGACTTGCCAAAAGCTGTCAGATGCAAACTTGGACCCTTCTGTTCCTTCATCTTAGTTTTTTCCATGGCTTCTGCTGTGAGCATAAGCAGAGCTGAACTCCTTAGAGAGGAGTTGGGAGGTGGGAGTGAAGCTCGGGGAGGTGAATAGTGAGGAAGGAGGAGGAGAACAGCCATTGTGCTCAGGCAGGAAAGTGAAAAAGCTGCTTTAAAATGACTACACAAGCTCATAGCTGCCTAACTCGCTAGTCTTTGATTCAGTAGCGAGTTACAAAAACGATGAAGCCTTATTTGGGCTGCAAGGGTGATAGGAGTAAGGGAGAGGAATAATGACATAAAAGAGGGAATAATACAAACGAGGCTTTCCGATAGGCGGAGGCCGAGCGCTGCTCTCCCGCTGCCCCCTCCGCACCACGCGGGGCGGCGGCGTTTCCCGACGGGGCGGAGCGGATCCGGCGCCGGGGCGGCCGCTGACGGAGGCTCCGTCGGAATCGGTGCTCCGAGAAGAGGTCCGCAGGTGAGGGTGGGGGTCTGGGATGGGGAATGGACCGTCCGGGGTTGGGATGGAGCTGCGAGGAGGGTCGTGAGGAGCTGAGCTGGGCGGGACCGGCAGCAGAGCGTTGTGCTGCGGGATGCTGAGCGCCGTCCGTGCGGCGGAGAAGGGCTGAGGCTGAATCCCATCCAGAGGGTGGGCGGGTGCTGCTGGGGAGAAGAAAGCTCCTCAGGGAATAACAGGCGTTAAAGGCAGAGTTGCTGACATCTCACGGTTGTGTGGAGGCTGTTATTCCGAGCTCAAGCCGGGTTAATGATTGCTGGTACCGTGCAGAGCTTGATCTGCTCATACCGAACATTGCTTCAGGTTTTGCAGCTAGGAAGAGCTTTGCAGATTAAGTCCTGCTCCGACAAGTTGCAGAGAGCCTATGCCATGCTGCGGTGCCTTTCCTGCCCCGTGCTGGGCTGCTCTGGGCATGCGTTTCCCTTGGCCTCACCCCAGCGTTCCTCCCAGGGACTTTTTGCAGCAGAACCGTCAGGGGCTGAAGCCGGAGCTGAGCCACCTTCCCATGTGCAGGCACAGGGCGAGCTCTGCGTGCGACACCAGGGCTTTGTTTTGGAAAGATTCGGTCAAATCAGCCTCACCCAGGCAGTTCTGTTTTTGTCAGCAGCACAAGCTGCTGCAGCACTGCGACTGTTTGAGATCAGCAGGTCTGTGAATATGGCAGGTTCACTAAGTTGGCTTTCCCTGGGCGCCCTGCCCATGTCACAGGAGGTCGAGCAAGGACAAGGGTCACCCTGTGCCAGTGGCTGCTGTTGGTGCTGTGCCTCAGACACCAGGCAAGGTGGGGAAAGAGCATTTAATAGGGAAGCCAAGCAGTAAACAGCTGATTTTATCTGCATTTCTGCTCCTCAGCTTCAGGCAGGCGTGAGTTCTGGACCTATCTGCTCCATTCTGATGAGGAAATTCTAGAGGTGGGTTTGTTGATTCTTTTGTTGCTTGTTTTTAAATCCAGCCCCATTCCCTCCCCCTCCTATTTCCAAACTTTGAAGAGCTTTTCCTGGCTGAGCCATACTTGAAGTGACTGAACTTGGCAGGAGCCGAGGCTTAAAGCAGCACCAGAGTTGGGCTGGTTTCTTCCCAACTTGTCTGAGCAAGAGCAGGTAAAGAGTGGGGGGGGGGATCACCTCGAGCAAATTCTGTTCAGTTCTTAAGGCTGCTGTGAAAAGGCAAAACAAGCCGGGGAGGCTGCCTTTATCTCAGTAGGGACAGCAGCTGCAAAAATGTAAATATGGGAAGCTTGCTCACTGAGATTACACTGCTGGACATCAGTGATGCAACCGGACAAACTTACTCAGGTTGCACAGTCTTTGTGTGAAGCCACATGGAAAATGTGGAGCTGGAAAATGATGCTGAGAACTCAGACCTTCTCACTCACCGTGTCCTGTTTCTGATGTTGCAGTTATTTGTGGTCTCAGCAGTGTTGCAGGGCAGCTGCCAGCCTGCTTGCAGGATGCTGCTCCTTGCAGCTTGGGAACACAGATGCTGCAGGCAACCAGCAAGGGAAAGTTGAGGCTGTTGCTGGAGGGGGAAGTTGTTAGAAACTGAACTACAGGAAGGGAGTGAGCTGAACTTCACTAGGAGCCATTGTGCCTTGGAGAGTTAATTACAGTGTTACGGAGCACTGGTATGGGGTTAATTACCTCTCTGCTCTTCCAGCTGGTGTCACCTGTATGGAATGGGGCACAGCGGTGGCACTGCTGAAGCATCCCTTCCCATTCCTTCATATTGCTGTTTTTAGTGAATCTGTTATGTCAGCTGTAACGAGGCCACTCTTCAGTCATGAAGGGGAAAAAAAAAAAGGCATTCAGGCAGCCTCTTTGATAAAGTAATTACTTTAAACCCCACAGCAGAACTGTCTTTTTGTCCCAAGGTGCTTTCGAGCAACGAGAGCTGCAGTGTGGCTGCGCCATGGCAGCGGTGGTGGCAGAGAAGCTCAGCCGCCTCTTCATCAACGTGCGCCAGGTCCCCCAGCTGCTGGCTCCCCCACTGCCCACCACTGTCAGCAGCTCTGAGGTGCCGAGGGTTTTCTGGAAGCCTTACATCCACACCGGCTATCGCCCGGTGCACCAAACCTGGAGCTATTACTTCTCCACGCTCTTCCAGCAACACAACGAAGCCATCAACGTGTGGACTCACCTGGTGGCCACGCTGATCCTGCTGCTGCGCTTCCAGCAGCTCTCCCAGAGGGTGGATTTTGGGCAGGACCCGCACGCCCAGCCGCTCCTCATCATCATCACGGCATCCATCACCTACCTGACGTTCAGCACGCTTGCTCACCTCCTGCAGGCCAAGTCTGAGTTCTGGCACTACAGCTTCTTCTTCATGGACTATGTAGGGGTGGCCATCTACCAGTATGGCAGTGCGTTGGTGCACTACTATTATGCCATCGAACCCAGCTGGCATGAGAGGATCCAGGGCTTTTTCATGCCCACGGCTGCACTGCTGGCCTGGCTGTCATGTGCAGGCTCATGCTACGCCAAGTTCCACTTCCATCAGTCAGCATGGCTGCTGAGCCGGCTGTGCCAGGAGGTGCCCTCGGGCCTGGCCTACCTGCTGGACATCAGCCCTGTTGTGCACCGCATCTGCACCGCATCGCCTGCGGAGCACACGGACCCTGCCCTGCTGTACCACAAGTGCCAGGTGCTGTTCTTCCTCATCGGTGCCTTTTTTTTCTCCCATCCTTACCCAGAGAAGTTGCTCCCTGGGAAATGCTATTTTTTTGGGCAGAGCCATCAGATTTTTCACGTCTTCCTGGTGCTTTGCACTCTGGCACAGATCGAGGCCGTGGTGTTGGACTATGAGTCCAGGCGGCACATCTACTCCTCGCTGCAGGGTGACCTGGCACACCACTTCTCTGCCCTATGTGTCTTCACTGTGACCTGCTCCGTGCTCACGGCTGCATACATGGCACGGAAGGTGAAGGACAAGCTGAGCTTCAAAGAAGACTGAGATTCAGGGCATAGTGGGAGATGCCATGGCCAAAGCTGCATGCTCTTGAGAGGAAGGAAGTGCTTTGCAAACTGTCACTTGGCACTGCTCTCCCCAGGGAGGGAGAATAAGAGCTGCTCTTCGTGCTTTTTAATTCAGAATTAATCCCATCTTATTTGTGAAATAGTGCACTGATTTAATTCCGATATCTGAATAAACAGATAGAACCACGTGGCAATGTGGTGCAGCCTGGTCACTGCTGAGCCCTGTGTGCTTTGTCCCAGGGTCCCCACAGCTGTCCCCTCCACTCCATCTCAGCAGCAGTGGGGCTGCATACCTCTCACAAGGGGCAGCTGCAGATAGGACATCTGCATGGCCTCTCCCAGCCCTGCTCTGCTTGCATCTCTGTGTGTCTCCAGGAAGGCTGTGGGGAGCAGTGTGTTGCAATGCAGGTGAACGATAAACACTGCTCCCCCACCTTGGCTGAAGATGTTATCTTGCAGGACACTGTCCACTTGCTCAGATATGAGCTGCCTTTGGTAAATCTGTGCTGCTTTTCCCAATCCCTTGCTTTGTTTGTGTGGTAGTAGTTTCCAGACTCGCTCTGTTGCTTTCCTGGGGTCTGAAGGGCGATCTGGTGGGGACTGAGACCTGGGGGATCCGGAGGAGCTCTGCACCCCTGCACAGCAGCAGTGCACAGCCTCGATGGGGCAAAGCACAGAACCCCAGAGCAGTGCAGGGCAGCTGCAGAGCCACAACTGCTGCCCTCCGGCTCCAGCACAGCTGCTGCTCTGTGCCAACTGGTGCTGTGCCAACCGCTCTTTGTTTGAAGATGCTGAGACATGTCAGGTTGGCATTTCTTGGCTGTAGGAATGGCATCTAAATGTTGCCACCTTTAATCTACAAAATTCCCAAGCTGGGAAGTCGTGAACATTACTGAGCTGTCTCTCAGCTTAGTGTGGAACATTGGGTGCCCTGCTGCCTTGCAAGGAGCTTTTTGCAAGGGAGTGAGGAACTTGTGCAGGAATAAAGAACATCCCCAGTAGAAATGCTGCACACTGCCTAAGCTTAAAAATAACCAATGACCAAAAACCACCTTAACCTTCAGGTTAAGTAATGCCAGGCCATCCTCAGAAATAGTGCTTAGGAAAGCAGACCCACCAGCCTGCATCTACTGGTTTGCATGGACATCAATACCAATTGATCCCATACACCAGCACTGAGAATGGTGGAATGTCAGCAGTGTGTCTCTATATGGCACTCTGCAATCTGCTTTCTAACACAGTACTGCTGCATTTTGCAGTCATGGACAATGTGAAATAGTGTGATTGTCTGAATTTATTGGTATTGCAGTTCATCCTTTGTGACCCTGACGTAACCATGGAAACAGAAGCATCCGAGTGAGTCTGCACTATGCTGACAGCCCATGGGACATTGCTGATGTCTGTGCTCTGGTTATCCAGTTGGTCGTTGTGGGTCAGACAAATTGAGTAGGAAATAAAAATCAATTCTGCACATGAAGCACACAGTACTGATGAGTAGGAATGAAAAGGTCTTGGGAGAACGTTTCCCTGATCAAAGGAATTTTAGGGAGTTTGACCCTGAGCTTAGAAAACGCCATTTAGTAGTTAGTGAAACATAGAATTATTTTAAAGCAAAACCAACTACAGTAAAAGTGAGTGGAACAGCCCAGGGAGGCTGTGGATGCCCCATCCCTGGAGGCATTCAAGGCCAGGCTGGATGTGGCTCTGGGCAGCCTGGTCTGATGGTTGGCGACCTGCAGACAGCAGGGGGTTGGAACTGGATGAGCACTGTGCTCCTTTGCAACCCATAGATGATTCTATGATCTTGACCTGAAAGAAAGCAGTGCTCTGTCCTGGCAGTGCTAAATGCTGAGTATTGGTGTGCCAGTCCACGTAAACAGTTATAGCTGCAAAATACCTTCACTAAAGCACAGAGCAGCGCATCACTAGCATGAAGTTGTCACTGGATACTTCCAACACTTCCTCTAATACCTGAGGTTATCAAACTGAGCTTCAGCATCTTTGCAAAGCTTGGGAGGCATCTGTAGACCGCCTGGATGGATGAAGATCCCTCTGAAGCAGCAGCAGGATGATGCCTCAGAGCTGCTGCAAGTGCTTACCAGAGAGCACTGGTGGCACAGCCGGAGCAATCGAGTGCTTCCCTCACTGCCACCGAGCTGTGAAATCGGACGTGACCTATTGACTGATCCTCAGACCGAAATTAAAAGGTATCGATGGGCTCTTCGGGGCTGTTGTAGAGGAAGTGCATTCATCCTATGCAGGACACTTGTAGTGGCGATGCACTTTAGCAGGGCGCTGATCAGAGAAACCTAAAGGAGTGCCTAGTGCCACGTCTCGGCCTCGTGTTGGGCCGCTGTGGACCCGGCCATCCCTGCCTTATCTCTGCCTGTGCTGGGAAGCTCCGACTCAGCAGATGTACCTCTTTCCTTTGGAGGATGAAAGGGAACGTGGTTGGTAGGGAGCTCAAGCTGTGGATTTCTCATTTCTAGCCTTTCTTTGAATGTGGTTTCCCCCTCCCCATAAATATTAATTTGGTCACCGTTGAGTCGTGCTCGGAGCTGTAGCAGACGGACCAACACATTGATTTTCTCCTCCCTCCATCCCCAGCAAATACAAATCCAAGTGTGCAGAGCCTGCATTCCACCAATTGCTCGGGTGATGACATGAACTGTTCGTAATGTGAAATCCAACGCACACGGATGGAAGATGTCAGGGGTTGTCACTGGATACCATAGAGCTTAATTTTACACATTTGCTGTAAAGAAAGGTATGTTTTATTTCTAATGTGCTGTTTATTTTCACTTGTTTCTCTTTTATGATGTCTGACACCTATTTGTCTGCCAGTTTGAAAGTGTATTTTTGTGTTTAATAGTTGTCTTAATGTAACATTTCCTCTGCAGTCAGCAATATTGTAGCCACAAGGATTTAACATCCATTTACTTCCTTAATATTCTTGTTTTACAGTGCCAAGATTAATTACATCGGAACCGAAAGCTTTGTGTTCAATGACCTATGTACTAAAAAATCAGATCATGCTGCTTTTAATGTGACTGAATTCCAAACAAAGTAATGTTATATCTATAAACAGAACTGTTTATGAAACCAGCAGATAATTTTTTGCATAAGTCATTCTTTTTTTCATAGGCTCGTGGGCAAAGGTAGCAGCTCTTGGTGCTTGGACACTGTTCTGTACTTCAGACAGAGGTGCCATCAAGCAGAGGGAATTGGACTGGCGATGGGGGTTTATTTATTTGCTTAGCACTGTCATGCACAAAGAGAAAGCAGTTATTTGCTCTCAGTTTTATGCTTAAAAATCCTTAAAAATAATGGATCTCTGCCTTTTTGTTGTGTTTTAGGATCCTCATGAGATCCTAAGTGTAACCAGATCTCATGGCAAAAAGTTAACAGGACAGAACCATCACTTCAGCTGCAACACATTGCTCACAACACTGAAAATGAGGGCCAGGAAGTATTTCTCTGTTTGTCTGCAAATCATAAAAACTCATTGCCTTCTCAGGTATCCTACAGATAAACATCCCACTCTCACAGTGGGATCTATTGGATGATGGAGAAGCAGGTCCCTGGATGCCCAGTGCTGCTGTGAGGCAGGCACTGTATTTTCCACTGATTCAGATGCACAGGGGATGCTGCATACCTTATAGTTACATCCTTGTCTGGGTGTCTTTTAATGATAAATTAGAGACAGGTGGATGCACTTCTTTGTCTTTTAGCTGAGAAATAACAATGCCTACAATGCCAACGAGTCATGCTGCAATTGACATCATGTGATGGTGTCATTTTTTTGTAATGAATTTAAGAAGGGCTTCAGCTTTTACAATATCTGATGCTTGCTCTCTCATATCTTCTAGTCTTAAAATGGCACAATAACCATGGGAGACTGGAATTTCCTTGGAGGCATTCTGGAGGAGGTCCACATTCACTCCACTATTATTGGCAAGATTTGGCTAACCATCCTCTTCGTGTTCCGAATGCTTGTCCTTGGAGTGGCCACCGAGGACGTCTGGAATGATGAACAGTCAGAATTTATTTGCAACACTGAGCAACCTGGCTGTAGGAACGTGTGCTATGATGAGGCCTTTCCCATCTCTCTCATAAGATACTGGGTCTTGCAAGTTATCTTTGTGTCTTCTCCTTCTTTGGTGTATATGGGTCACGCCTTATACAGACTAAGAGCCTTAGAGAAAGAGAGACAGAAGAAGAAAGCTCAGGTGAGAGTGGAACTTGAAAGCACTGAACTAGAAATGACAGAATATCGGAAAAGGCTGGAGAGGGAACTCCGGCAGCTGGACCAAAGAAAGCTGAACAAAGCACCCCTGCGAGGTTCGTTGCTCTGCACTTACGTGATACACATTTTCACTAGGTCTGCAGTGGAAGTCGGTTTCATGATTGGGCAATATCTGCTTTACGGGTTTCGCCTGGATCCCCTTTACAAATGTCAAAGAGATCCATGTCCAAACGTAGTCGACTGCTTTGTATCACGGCCAACAGAAAAGACAGTGTTCATCCTATTCATGCAGTCAATAGCGACCGTATCATTGCTTTTAAATGTCTTAGAAATTATCCACCTCGGATTCCGAAAAATTAAAATAGGTCTCTGTGGGCAGGAGGAAAACAAGGATTACCGTGGCAATTTCTACACAAACAAATCCAAGAAATACTCTGTGATACCCCGCTCTTCTCTGGGTATATCTGCAACTCCTCAAAAAACTCTCCCTTCTGTACTTAGCGGTTATGCCTTTTTAATGGAAAAGCAAACCGACACTGCCATCTACCCGGTCTTAAATTCTGCTCCCATGTTCCCCTCTATTCAAAATAACCACACAGAAAATAGAGGCAATTACACCCACCACAATCAGGACAACAAACTGCCGAAGAAAAAGCCAGCTACAGATGCTTTAGCTGGTCAGACTCAGAATGCTAGCACAAACTGCACTGAAAGCTTGCTGGGCAGGCCTGGGACTGAAAGGAGGAATTCCCAGAAAGAAGCTGATCAGAAACACTTCCTTGCTGGTACTCAGAATGCAGATACCGCTTCAAGAAGCTTTGCTGAGATGCTGTCGCAGCCCCCTCTGCAGCCTTTTCCCGTTGCCAGCCTGAGAAGACAGCACGGAATCATCTCCTCCTGGAACTGCTCCGCAGCGGCCGAAAGCGTCGGATCCTCCACCAATTCCCTCACAAAGAGCAGCAGCAGGAGACGGAGCAGCCTCAGCGTGAGCCAAGGCCAACTGCCCCCCAAAGCCGACACCCGGCACCCCAGCCGCCCCGACACCCCCGACTCAGCAGGGGAGGCCAGCACGGGTTCCAAGCAGAGCCAGGGCTGCGGCAGCCCCCAGCCACTGCCCTTATCTGGGCGTCCATCGCTGTCGAGCAGCGCGAGCAGCCGGCGGGCCCCCACCGACCTGCAGATATAGCATGGCTGCCCAAGCACTGTGCTTGGCTAGCTGCCGGGCTTTGTGATAGAAGCAAGAGCAGCCACGAGCAGCTTTCTCGTTCAGCTTTAGCCTTCCGCAGAGGTTAAGGTAGAAGTTGTGCAGCCCTTTTGCTTTTAGCTAAATGACATCTGAACCATCTGCTTGCTTCGCTGGCAACAGAGGGATGGCTTAAACCTCTGTGCCAAGCTTCTGCATTAACCTTCCAGCTGCAAAGGAAAATGTACATCATATAAATCCACATACAAATCCACACATGAGAAGTCAGGATTAAAATTATAGCTGGTGATATGTAAGCCGGCTAAAAGTAGAAGACAAAATTCCAGTCTATAAATGTATTTTATGAAAACTAGTAAATGAAATTAGGTGAAAAAAAAAGGCACTGGGACACCTGAGAGAAAATAATTAACAATAAATAACATTCTTAGAACCAGGAAACCAGCACAGGAACCAGGAAACCAGCATGATGCTTTCGCTTGCAGCCATTTGACCGCATCCACATCAAGTGTTGGAGTCATTAAAATCATTCTCTGTAGGTGTTTCTCCAGCAGCTGTTGTTTTTATCTCTGTTCTCATTCTGTGTGTATTCAGTTACAGCTCTGGGTAACCGTGGGCGCTGTGGGGTTTGACACCACGGACACACACCAGTGCCATTTTGCTCATTCTGACATTTAACCCCTGCACTCCCTGCAGGGTCTGCGAGCCACATTTTGCCATTCGACACCTCAATAGTAAAACACGCGTTCGCTGCACAGGCTAAAGAGCAGAAAGACGGTGCTGAGGGGCTCGCGTGTGGCACACCGTGTGCTTCTGCCCACTCGAGGTTAGAAAGGACCCCGAATGGCACCCGCGGGGCTCCGTGGTGAGCACTTCTTGATGGCCGCATCAACCACGCTACCCACTCCGACACTTGAAGGCACTGCGCAGGCGCAGACCTCCAGCGACCGGAAGGCTCCATGAGGCTCGGCCAATCAGCGGCCGAGCCGAGAGCGAGGCAGAAGGCGGGACTTCCGGTTGCGTCGCCATGGCAACGGTAGGAAGCCGGGGCGCCATAAAGGAGGCGGGCGCGGGCGGTGCGGGTGCTGCGGGGTAGATGGCGCACCACAAGGTAGGGGCTGCGGGCCCGCGAGGGGCGGCGGGGCATCCCGGTGCTCCCCTCAGCGCTGGGGAGGGGCCGCTCCGCCCCGCCGAGCCGCCTCCGTAGGCAGAGGTGCGTCGGCGCTCTGACCGTGTGGGCGTCCTCCTTCAGGCCGCGGACTCGAAGCGGGAGCAGTTTCGGCGCTACCTGGAGAAGTCGGGGGTGCTGGATACGCTCACCAAGGGTAAGGCGGGCTGAGGGCCGGGCCGTGGTGCTGCCGGAGTTGGGCGTTGGGACGGAACAACGGGACGGCGCTGCTGGGTGCGGGGCTGCTAACGCTGGGGAGCTCGTTGCTCTTTGTAGAAGCGGCTGTATTTATCGGGATAGGGAATAAAAGCACGCTGCGAGCTCAGCACGCTTATTTTCTTATTGCTGAGGTCCTTTAAATTATCTATATGTGTTCTCGAGAACTTTTCAGCAGGATGTTGGTATTCCTGCTTGATAAATTGTACTGTTGGTGGGGTGTACCAGCTGTACGGCTCTGTGCTGAGCCTTTCCTGGTGTGTTGGGGCCCTTTGGTTTCCTGTAGGTGTTGCTGTGTAAAGTGTGACAGCGAAATAAATCTTCCAAGCCCTGTGGCAACCGAGTTTTGCTTCTAACTTAAGTGCTTAGCTTAAAAACAGCTTGCCTGTGCAATTCATGTGGCTGAAAGTGGGAGGAAGGCGCTTAAGCTCTCTGCAAGTAGTGCTTGAGCAGCATTTATGAAAGCAAATGTATGGAAGAGCGTGCCTCTGGTGTGTGTGTGTTACATCACTTATTTTGTCATCTGTACTCAAACCCTGTGGTTAGGTCAAAAAAATCCCTTCTGCTCAACTGTTGAAGTGTGGGGTGCTCTATTTCCTCCTGTACAGCTCTGTCCTTATGAAGGATGTGAGTGAGCATCTTAAACAGGAGAACATGCTGTAAGCATGGCACAGAACTTTTATGCATTCTGACTGTTGCTTTGAAAACTAGAGTCGTGGATGTCTTGTAATTGAATATTTTATATTTGCAGTGTTAGTAGCCTTATATGAAGAGCCAGAGAAACCAAGTAGTGCACTGGAGTATCCTTTTTGTCCTCTGTCCTATGGATTGTTTCTTGCTGTTATAAGCAGCCTGCTCTGTTTGGTTATTCTTTCACTGTTTGGAACACAAACTGATAATTTTTAACCATTTTTGGTTAAACGTTGGTGTAGAAAAAATGTGAGTAGCTGTCTTGTATGTACTGATGTCTTTCTGTAGAATACAACAATAAATTTAGGAAGCTTTCTTATTTTTCCAGCTTCTTTCTGTAGGATGAGAAGCATGGCAGTAATTTGAGTGATTTAAATGCTGTGCTGGTCATGTTTATTGCAGCACTAATTTATGATTAAATGTTAAAATCAAGTGTCTTTCTGTCTGAGGAAATACTTAACATGTAAATATCAGCTTTCTGAAGCATCACTTGGGAGCTTCAGCTCCCGAGAGTCCAGAAGTGGAGGCACTTCGCTTGGAAGTAGCAGAGATGAAGGAAAAATATGAAGCTGTGTTGGAAGAAAATAAAAAACTGAAAACCAAAGTAAAAGTCTATTTAATATTCCTAAGTACTTCAGTGTGTGACAAGAAGAGAACTTTGACACTTAGAATACAGCTAACTTTCACTGGAATAAATGATGATGATGTTAAATTGTTCAGCCTTGTGGCTGAGGAATGCATTTCATTCCTTGCTTAACTGCATGTAGCTTCTGGTGAGGGACTCATATTCTGGAATGCAGTTTTTGCTAACTAGAGACTTTTCTTTTTACAAAATAAGTAAAATAAGGCATCTTGGGAAACTGAATGGTGAGATGAAGTTTCCCATTTGTTTTGATCTGATACTGTATAGCTTGTGGGTTCCATAAGAGCTTTGAAAAGAAGGGCTGGGGGAAAGCTAATGCATTACTATGAAGGCTTTCCAAAGGCCAAATGCAGGAGGGGAACTTGGGTACAGGTCTGTAGCAGGGTTTTACCAGGGGATGTCACCCTTGTCCCTATGGGACATTAACTTGTGCTGCAGCCAATACAACTTTGGAGCTCCTGTGTCTCTTAAGATGTGACATCTAACTGAATTCCTCTCTTTAAATCCACAGCTGGCTCAATATGAACCACCTCAAGAAGAGAAGCGTGATGAATAACAGTAGTTTCTCCTTTCATACCTTGACTTAATAAAGGGCTTCCTGAGAACTGCAGTCCTGTCTCTTCTGTGTGAGCGCTGTGTGTCTTTGTGGTGCCTCATCTTAAAGGGAAACTAGTGAGTGTGCAGCTGTTTTTGTGGTTGTTCGTTTTACTTCTGTGTCTGTGGTTGAGCCAAAGAGAATAAAGGGGACCTGAAAGAGGAAATAACATTGTAAGAGTTTCAAAAGCAAAACAGCCCCCACTGGACTTTCATTTCTATTAAAGGAGGTAAATGAGAATGTATAGCATTAACTGTAGGTGTGTGTAGACAGGGAAGGGGCTGCAGTGCAGAATGGATGAGGCAGATGAATCAGTGCTGTAAGAGAGGGGGGAGCAGTGCAGTTTGGAGCCCCTGTTGATAGGGAAGCAGCAGGGGGTGGCGTTGGGCCAAGGGAAGCATGGGGCTGCAGGCAGGCCTTGGGTCTGCTGAGCCTTAAGTCTTGTGTGGAATGGATTAATCACAGAAGGGCCAGGGTTGGAAGGGATCTCAAGGATGATGAAGCTCCAACCCCGTGCCACGCACAGAGTCACCAACCTCCACACTCGATACCTGCCCAGGGCCCCATCCAACCCGGCCTTGAACACCTCCAGGGATGGACGGGGCATCGCAGCCTCTCTGGGCAGCTGTTCCAGCACCTCACCACTCTCATAGCAAAGAACTTCCCTCTGACATCCAGCCTCAATCTGCCCTCCCTCAATTTAAAACCGTTTCCCTCAACTTCAAACCATTTCCAACTGCTGCCGATAGGGAAACGAGTGACCGGCGGACGGGAGGCCGATCCGCCCGCGTCCGTCTGTCCGTTCCGCCGTACCGCCCCGCTGTTCCGCAGCCGCCGCTTCCCGCCCCGCAGCACCGCCCCCGCCGCTCACGTGCTCCAGTGCCGTCACGTGACCAGCACCGCCTGACCGGAGCTCCGCACCGCGCTGACTCCTTCAGCCAATCGGCGTCGTTCTTTTCGCTGCCAACCAATAGGGATCGGGAGGGGCGGGGCTCTGCGGCGCAGGCAGAGGGCCGGGCCGGGCCGACATGGCGCTGCAGTTCGGCGGTGCGGGCGCGGCGGGTGCGGCGGAGGAGCCGGCGCTGGTGGGGGGCAGCTTCGGGGCGGCCGACTCGTTCCCTAAAGACTTCGGCTACGGGGAGGAGGAGGAAGAGGCTGAGCTGGAAGGCGGCCCAGGGTCCGGAGGGCCAGGAGGCGGTGCGGGAGGGCCCGGGGGCGGCGCGGGCGGGGCGGACTCGAAGCCGCGGATCCTTCTGATGGGGCTGCGGCGCAGCGGAAAGTCCTCCATCCAGAAGGTGAGGGGCGGCTGAACCCCCCGGCACGGCCGCTATCGAGGGGCGTTGGGCGGCTGCGTCCTCCGAACGGGGGGTCCGACATCAGCCCCGTGCTGCAGAGCCGTCCGTGCCTTCCTTTGCAAAACGCGCGCCGGGTGTTAGCGAGCAAACTTTGCCTTTGGATCGCTCCGCCGTTGCTTTCCACTTATTTGTTGTTATTTGGGCCTGATGCTCCCGCTCCGTGTGCAAATGCAGCGTTTGGACTGATTTATTTTCTAAGTCTCTGAGCGATGTGAATGACAGCCAGCAGACAGATTGATTGCGTTGTTTGCAGTCAAAATTTGTGAAACTTAAAAGTCGGGGGGAAGCTGCAACCTCAGGCATCTGGTGGGAAGTTGCTGAAACCATTGGATTGTGAAAGTGCAAAAGGAACACTTGGAAAGGCAAAGCCATGCTGAAGAAGATCAGCTCTTTGTAGCACTTTCCAGGCCTGTCTGCTCTGCCTGGTGTCACTTGCCTGTATTAGAGCCAACTCTGTGCTTCCAGTTGGATTCTACCACGACTTTTTCCTTTGCTTTATCCAAGTTGTTTAAATCTAGAAAGAATGGGGGTAGACGCTAGGCAGCAGAAGTGGGATTTGATCCAGGCTGTGTCCTGATCAGTCTGAAGGGAGGGAGGATGAGCTCACTGCTTCTCAGAGACTCGTCTGCTTTAACCTTTGCTCCCAGTTTCTGCCTCGTTCTTTGTGAAAGATGCTGAGCTCCAAAGGAGTGCTGATTTCCAAATTGCTTTACAACTGAGTTCTTCAAACCCTGCTGAGCTTTTAGTCCTTACAGTAAGGCTGGAACCTATCTAGAACTGTTCTCTCTTTTCCATACAAATGTCTTGCTGTTTAAAACCTCTTTAAAGTCCTGGCTTTCTCGAGCTTCTGCCTTGAGGAAGTGCATTTCTTTCCCCTTATCCTTAAAAGTTGAGTCTGATGTACTGCTTTGGAGCTCACTGAGTGCTGTGCTGCCCAGCTGTGTGTCGTGCAGGTAGGCAGAGATTGTGGCAC